GGAAAACACCCGCTCACAGGTATAATTTAGACCTCAGGAAGCAGGCAGAATTCAGGTAAGTATAGTTAATTTCTCTGAACGCAGGCTATGTTCTGGTAAGTAACTTATTCACAGGAGAGAGATTGTGTACCGTCAGCCCCCCCCCAAAACGACCCAAGCCTCGATACGCGCATCGCGGAAACGCCCCCCTCCCTTACTCAGCACACGTTTCGAAGCCTCGATACGGAACGTCACATCACTAGGTCCCTGACATAATGAAATTTACAAACTCAAAGAAGATAATATCTAAACTTTATAAACTAATGTCAAATACAGATAGAATAGTAACATTACCAATGAACAAATGGGAAACGGATTTGTTGCTCCCCCCCCCCCCCCCCCCCTCGTTTTGCGCGCGAAAAATAATATCTTCTCCGTGACTACCAATATAAACTAACAGCTTATACAATATAAGACTATTCACAGGACTCATATCACACAAGGTAAAATGCTTAAAGTGGGTTTTACTGATACAGATACTTGTTCAAAATGCACTTTGGGTTGCACCAATGATTACTTCAACACTACTTGGACCTGTCAACCTGTTTACTCCCTCTGGGTAGCGGTGACAGAAACACTCTCCACCATCTTGAGCTGTAGAATCCCTCCATCCCCATCACTCTGCCTGCTCGGTAATGTCACAGATGTCAACCACCTACCAATTAAATATAAAAACCTACTTCTTATCTCTTAACTATCGCCAAGAAAACAATCTTTCTAAACTATAAATCTAAAAATTCATTACACATCAACCACTGGACCAACCTTCTTATATATCACACTAGAGAAAATATCATTCACCCATAAGAATAATATACCAACCTTTATTGACACTTGGAATCCGTTTCTAACCTCTTTTAACTTGAATCAGATCAGAGGCTGATGCCACACACATTCCCACGAACTCCTAGAAATATAACAAGCTGCTTTTCAGTTCATTATTGTTACTGATATTAGTCCTCATTGTCCATGCTTCTGTCTTGAGTGTCACGCCTATCAATCAAACCAAATTAACTAAGAGTATTCTTGCCTGTGCCAGAAACAGATCAAGCTTCCGTACACACTTAGCTCAATCTTACATCCTTACACAACTAACACAAGTATTATCTAAATATGAACTACATACTGTTCTATTACATATTACCTCTGGAATCTGGTTTATTGCTAACCACTACAGTGCCCCCTCCCATAGTTTTTAAACTATGGGACTTCGGAGCTCAAAATATGGAAAATCTAAATATGACCATGTTAGCCTGAGACTTTAACGCCTCTAAACTCTAACAGTTGTAGTTAAACATTAACCTCTTCCTGCATCTAAAGTTAAATCTAAAATAATTTCCTATCACAGAACTAACCACTCCTCAATAAACCTTGAACCTCAACAGAGTCTTTCTCACATATTCTAATGAAACCTAACTTAAACAACTCAGTCCATCAAGTCTCTAACGTCTCACACCTTTGCAAAGTTAGTAGTGATTAACTATGGTGAACGAATCAGCTGTATAAAATGACACATAACTTCCTATTCATAACAGTCAGACAAATGAACAAACATGAACATAAAAGTAACAACAATAAACAAATAAACAACCAACTCTGTTCCCTTTGTAAGATGACGCAGTCAGTGTTCACAGAGATTCAGGCAAAAAACCCCACTATATATTATATTGATTATTATTTTATCTTTTTGTTTTACTCTTTGTTTTGTTCTGTTTTGGGGAAATTCCTGAATGACCCCACTTTTTTGGGCGATCACCATCCAGGCCTGCTGTGAACCTGATTGTAGAAACCAGACAGTGTAAATCCCAAAACTGAATTCAAAATATAACATCAATCACACTAGAGAAAATATCATTCACCCATAAGAATAATATACCAACCTTTATTGACACTTGGAATCCGTTTCTAACCTCTTTTAACTTGAATCAGATCAGAGGCTGATGCCACACACATTCCCACGAACTCCTAGAAATATAACAAGCTGCTTTTCAGTTCATTATTGTTACTGATATTAGTCCTCATTGTCCATGCTTCTGTCTTGAGTGTCACGCCTATCAATCAAACCAAATTAACTAAGAGTATTCTTGCCTGTGCCAGAAACAGATCAAGCTTCCGTACACACTTAGCTCAATCTTACATCCTTACACAACTAACACAAGTATTATCTAAATATGAACTACATACTGTTCTATTACATATTACCTCTGGAATCTGGTTTATTGCTAACCACTACAGTGCCCCCTCCCATAGTTTTTAAACTATGGGACTTCGGAGCTCAAAATATGGAAAATCTAAATATGACCATGTTAGCCTGAGACTTTAACGCCTCTAAACTCTAACAGTTGTAGTTAAACATTAACCTCTTCCTGCATCTAAAGTTAAATCTAAAATAATTTCCTATCACAGAACTAACCACTCCTCAATAAACCTTGAACCTCAACAGAGTCTTTCTCACATATTCTAATGAAACCTAACTTAAACAACTCAGTCCATCAAGTCTCTAACGTCTCACACCTTTGCAAAGTTAGTAGTGATTAACTATGGTGAACGAATCAGCTGTATAAAATGACACATAACTTCCTATTCATAACAGTCAGACAAATGAACAAACATGAACATAAAAGTAACAACAATAAACAAATAAACAACCAACTCTGTTCCCTTTGTAAGATGACGCAGTCAGTGTTCACAGAGATTCAGGCAAAAAACCCCACTATATATTATATTGATTATTATTTTATCTTTTTGTTTTACTCTTTGTTTTGTTCTGTTTTGGGGAAATTCCTGAATGACCCCACTTTTTTGGGCGATCACCATCCAGGCCTGCTGTGAACCTGATTGTAGAAACCAGACAGTGTAAATCCCAAAACTGAATTCAAAATATAACATCAACACAAACATTTGTAATGTAACTAAACTACTTGTATAAAAGCTCTAGATCTGCTTTCTTCCATCCTCACCGGCTGCAATGTCTCTCTCTCGACTTCTCTATGCATGACTGACCTCAGTATCTCTGACTTGCACTCCCTCCTCATGAGGGTCAGATAGATGAGAACACAGCTGGGTCATAGCCAGTATTGTCGTCAAGGGGAGCATCAGCTTCACTCGAACTCCCTCCTCATCCAAGGAGTCCCTTGGATCACATCTTCTCCTTATCGAATCAGGATCAGATCCAAGCCATCTCTGTCCTTGGGGACGTTCACTCCATGTACATGCCTCCTTCGCAAAGGGGTCTCTCCTCCTCCAGGGCACCTTCATGTACACGACATCTCTTGCTCTCACTTTGGGCTCTCCATCCTTTTGGGCCTCTCTGTCCTGCAAAGAGGAAACACAAACAACACAGACCACACAGGAGCAAATACTCCTGCACATAGTATTGACTAGTCTAACATACAATCTCATTTCCTTATCAGTATGTCAAAACTGGTATTAACATTACAAAATAGCACTCTATAGACTACACTTAAACTGCCTGACTTTAAATCTGAACAACCTTTTAGCAAATGGTAAGAATTTGAAACTAAAATATTTTTATTTGACTTTCATCAGAAGGTGACAAGTGTGGGTCAAGGGCAGATCTGTGACTTCTGTGGAAAAAGATTTTAACATCCATCCATGCAACCCAGGGAGGGTTAACACACACTGAGCAGAAAAACACACAAAAACTAAAATAACTATCATTTATCCATTGTCAATAAGAAGAACAGTTTGTTATAAGCAGAAGAATGTACTAGCATCTACATGAAGATATTACTAGATCTGAATAAAGCATCTAATTTAATTAAGTTGTGACAACTATCCAAAAGTGCAAACAGTAAAGTTTACCTTATATCCAGGTTACCTCCTGAAGAGAATCCTCCTGTATTGAAGTTAGTCACAAGATTTGTTTATTTTTAGCCACTACAATACCCCCTCCATTTTCCTAATTTATTTGGTTTAATTCTATTTTCCCTTAAGTAATGAATATCAATCTGCATAGAGTTGGATACACACACACTACACACTTTCACACACAACTTAATACCCTCAATTAATAATCCCTTTGCCTCTTTTCTTAATGTCTGTTGTCTCATGAACTATGTTATGTGCTTTGTCCTATAAATGTGTTATTTTGTGTTGCAATAAAAAAAAAAAAATTTGGTTTCTTCTCTCTCAAAATCAGAACCAGTAAGTAGGTTCAGAATCAGAACTGATCACATTGAAACAATACCAAACAGTATTTCTGAGCCTCAAATTAGGGTAAGGACAGGACTGAAGCTCTCCCTCTCTGCCCTTCTCTCTATAGCCAGCTGAGATAACTGTCCCTCTGACTGAGAAATATGTACCAAGCCAAGCTGATAGTGGCCTGCATCCTACAGGACCTTAATAAAGGAGAAGTGCAGTTGATCATATTATAGCAGTCCTTTGTACTTGGTGAATGATGATGTTTTGTCCTTGCTAAGGAAGGAGAGATTGAGAGGACAAAAGAAGAGGGAGCCTAAGAGAGAGAGGGAGAGAATAAGGTGATTTTTACAGGATTTTTACATCGTCTGTGAGTAGCTAATATATAATAGCTTATCAAGGAATTTGTTTTTCCACTATTTCCATAGTAAACTTGTATTTGTATTTAAACTTGTATTATATTCTTTTAGGACAATATCCTAAGATGTAGTTCTGGGTTTGTTAGAGTTCATTTTTATAAAGGCAGAAGGATTCTTCTTGGAAATGTCAGATCTTATCTGAAGCAGAGAAAATGAGCAGTGCTCTGTAGTCTCAGGCAAATGAACATGTAACTAGGAGCTATTGGCAGGAGGACAGGCCCCCAGGTCAGTATGCTAGCTGTCAGCACTCTGTTCGTGCTGGCTCCACATGTGCCTATGATGCATATTTGCCGGTATGGGCTTTCATATCATTGTCTGTTTCACTGAATGTAACAATGGCTTAAACACTGTGGCAGTCATTCCTTGACTTACTTATATCACTGTGCTGGAGGTGGTGGTGTGTTTCTTCTCGGTCTGGTCAATAGTGGGCCTCTCAGGCTTCCATACCTACCTGATCAGCTCCAACCAGACCACCAATGAGGATGTGAGTATGAACATGAAATGAACTCAAAATTTTATTTTTTTTATTTAACTTTCTTCCAAGCATGTAAAACTAAGAAAATTGATATTGCGAAAAACAAAATTGATTCGACATTTCAACCAATACGCATAAGACATCACAACATTCCAATAGTACATGCTTGAAAGGGAGCAGGAAGAAGTATACATTTATCTAGTCCTACCCCCTTTCTTAGACCGTGGTACCATTAGCCAGATATAATGTAACTTGAAATGTATCATGCAAAAAAATACTAGCATTATATCAAAACTTTATACATCTGCAACACAAGCATTATATTTTTGGATTTGTTCATATTTAATCGTGAAATCTGTGTTGCGTTTACTCTTCAGTATGTTTAGCTGTAGCAGTTCCTTGTTAGTCACAGTTTTTGATAAGGTTTGTATATAAAGCTATAATTACATAATTTAAGCAACAGCAATTTTTTTAAACTTTGTTATATATACACACACAAATATATTGCAGTTTTATAAGTAGTCTCATGCCTTATATTTCTGATTTTTTTTTATAATTGTCGTTTTTATATTATTTTTCATTTTATAACTTTGGCATTTATAACCTTGCATCACGGTGGCGCAGTGGTTAGCACCGTTGCCTCACAGCGAGAAGGTTCCAGTTTCGGGCCCCACCCCGGGGCCTTTCTGTGTGGAGTTTGCATGTTCTCCCCCTACTTGTATGGGTTCTCTCCAGATACTCTGGCTTCCTCCCACAGTTCAAAGACATGCAGCTTAGGTCAATTGGTGTCTCTAAATTGCCCATAGGAGTATATGTGTCCATGTGTATGGTTGTTCGTCTATGTGTTGGCCCTGCGATGGACTGGCGACCTGTCCAAGGTGTACCCCGCCTTCGCCCGATTGCTGGCCAGGATTGGCTCCCCCCGTGACCCCCTCAGGGACTAAGCGGTAGAAAATGGATGGATGGATGGAACCTTGCATCAAAGTATATTGTTACCAGAGGGAGGCAGAGGCATCTTTGTTATGCACTCACCCCTTTTTCTTGGTGGGTAGTACTAACTAATAAAGAAGACACAGAGACAGGTGCAACTTGTGTGCTCGTGTGTTACTCTTCAGAACAGAAAAACAAAACTAGTGTACAGCGTCACTTGGACGTGTTCCTTCCTCAACAGGAAATAACATCATACCCTTTTCACAATAAATCTAACTACTCAGAAACGTCAATACATAACATATCTCTTCCCCCGTTAGCTTGGAACTCCCCAGTAAAGAATGAACATTTCTAACCAACAAATCTGGATGATCTCTTTTTTTAAAATATCATTTTTTACTAAACTAGGAAGGAGAGGGTAGACTACCTCTCAGTCCAACTGAACCCCTGGGAATTATTTTGTCCCAATAGTGTGGGTCAGTTCTTACTAATAAGATAGTCTATCAGGAGGTCGTCTGTTTCTCCTTGGTTAAGAGCGACCCATTGCTGGACCAATCACTATCGCTGGAAGGGGACTGCACAAGCCCCTCTCTGTAAGGAATGATGTCCATTAAAGGCAAGGGTGGAGAGTCCAGTGATTCAGAGACAATGTCTCCAGTACTGGTGTGTTTCAGTGAGTCTTCCACTGTTGTAGAGGGCCCTGAGTCTGTCTGTCCAGATCAGAAAACGGTAACTGGTGTGTAGACTCCTGTGAGCCACTTGTGTGCAGTAACTGATCAATATGTCTCCTCCAAATGAGATGCTCATTTGTTTCCACGGTGTATGAAACAGGTCCAGTCTGTGTGATGACTGTTGCAAGTGTCCACATATCTTTGGAAAGGTAGTTCCGAGCGAGAACGTGATCTTCAGCATTGAAACTTCTGGCTTTTGCTTTTCCTCGTCTCTCAACTTGGGCTCTCTTTTGGAGTTGTACAACCTCTTTTGTTTTTCGAGGTCTCAGTAGGTCAAGCCGAGTACGGAGTTGTCTTTTGGACATAGCTGAAGCAGGAGACACCTTTGTTGTTGCATGCAGTGTGTACCGGTACGACAGAAGGAAAGCACTTAGGCATCTGTTAAGGGACTGTGTACCCCTAGAGGATATAAGAGCTTGTTTCATTGTCTGCACAAATCTTTCTGCCAATCCGTTTGTAGCTGGGGGCCGTTATCGCTCACAAGTTGTTATGTTAAGCCAAAACGGCTGAAGATAGATCTTAGTTCTTTGATAGTCCTTTCTGAGGAAGTGCCTTTCATGACTGCAACCTCTGGCCATTTGCTGTGGGCATCAACCACAACTAAGAATGTGGTTTTCCATTGGGCCGGCAAAGTCTATTTGGACTCATTGCCATGGCTCTTCAGGCCAGTCCCATGGGTGTAATGGTGCCAGTTGTGGGAGATTCCTCCGTTTTTGGCAGGCAGGACATGATTTTGCTTTCTTTTCAATAGCTGCATCTAACCCCGGCCACCAGAAGTAGCTACGAGCAACCTTCTTCATTCGCACCACTCCACAGTGTCCACAGTGGAGTTCTTCTAGCACCTTGTCTCTCAGAGGCGGTGGGATAATGACACAATTACCCCACAGCAAGCAACCTGCCTGAACTGCAAGTTCATTTCTTCTCACCATGTAGGGTTTCAATTCTGCTGTCATTTCTCCCCTTCTTCCATGAGAAATGATTTCCATCACCTCCGACATGACCGGGTCAATGCGCGTGTTTTTCTTTACATCAACTGCCGTCAAAGGAACAGAAGGAACATCTTTGAAATAAAGGATTTCTTCTTGTTTTGACTCAGGATGGGTGATTGGCAGCGGAAGTCTTGAGAGTCCATCAGCGTTCCCATGCTGTTCTGAGCGTCGGTACTTGATGTCATATTGGTGAGCTGACAAGAGCAGAGCCCATCACTGCATACAACTGGCAGCAAGCGAGGGAATGCCTGCTTGAGGGCCCAATATAGAGGCCAACAGTCGGTGGTCCGTCAGTAGTGTACATTTTTGCCCAAACAGATATTGGTGGAACTTCTTCACACCAAACACTATTGACAGGGCTTCTTGTTCTATCTTAGCATAATTGCTTTCTGCTTTGCTCAGCATTCGTGATGCAAAGGCAGTCGGTTTCTCCTTCCTTGATGGCATGATGTGTGACACAACAGCACCAACCCTGTACGGTGAAGCATCACATGCCAACTGAAGTGGCATTGCGGGGTCAAAATGCATCAGGGCGTTAGATGTGGAGAGCCATTTTCAATTCTGTGAATGCTGATTCACATTTTTCTGTCCATTTCCACAGATGAGACTTGTTCAGCAACGTATGAAGTGGTTTTAGCATGTTGGGTACAAACCTAGCATAATAAGTCAGTAAACCCAGGAACGATCTCAGCTGACTGATATTCTTTGGAGAAAGAGCTTCCACTATAGCCTTTACCTTTGAAGGTGCCTTGTGGAGTCCGTCACCGTCGATCACATGCCCCAAATATTCCACAGAAGATTTGAAGAATTCACATTTGTCTTTCCGGACTTTCAAACCGTACTCTTTCAGCTGCTGTAATGTGGCATCCAAATTTCCTAAGTGTGATGTCTCATCTGAGCCTGTGATGAGCAAGTCATCCAAGTAACACAGGACCCCTGGTAATCCACTTAAGATCTGGTCTATTGCCCTTTGGAAGAGTGCGGGAGCCGATGTGATTCCGAAAGGAAGCCTTCTGTATCTGTACAGTCCTTTGTGTGTCACAATGGTTAACAGCTCTTGTGAATTTTTATCCACATGCATTTGGAGGTATGCCTGGCATAAGTCTATTTTACTGAATTTCTGTCCTCCAGCCAGACCTGCGAATAGGTCATCAATGAGCGGTAATGGGTATTGTTCTGTGACCAAAACAGGCTTCACCGTTACCTTAAAGTCCCCACATATCCTTCGCATGCCATCCTTTTTCATTACTGGGACAATTGGTGTAGCCCACTCATGTAGTCACAGGTTCCAACACTCCACTTATTACCACTTTGTCAAGTTCTGCCTCCACTTTTGGTCTTATGGCATATGGGACCGGTCTTGCTTTTAAACACTTTGGTGTACTCTGGTTTCACCGCCACTTTTGGCGTAATGTCCTTCATACTGCCAAGTTCACCATCAAAAAGTTTTGAGTGTTTGTTTAAAATTTCCTGCATTGGATCACTGTCTCTAGCTTTAAGCAGGTATACGTCTTGCCAGTTCAGTCTGTTCTTTTAACCAGCCATGTCCTACCAAGGCAGGGTGTTTCCCTGTAACAATATACAGCGGCAAAGTCTTTGTTTGGTTGTGGTGCTCCACTTTTACATTCACCCTTCCTAACACTGTAACATGCTTACCAGTGTAGGTCTTCAACTTCAGCTTAGTTGGTTGCAAAGGAAGGTGTTGCAGTTTTTTTTCTCATAGATAACCCTTGACACCAGTGATACAATACAATACAATAAATACAATACAATAAATCTAACTACTCAAACGTCAATACATAACAATCTTGATGTTCTCTCCTGGCATGTGCTCACAGTTCAAGTCCTAAATTCCTCTCACAGTCAGACTGGTGATGCCAACTGGAGCCAATTAGATCAGTAGGTTAGGGTGTAGTGCTAATAACGCCAAGGTCATGAGTTCAATCACTGTACAGGTCACAGGTTTCTGTAGCACCAGATTAGGCATGATAAACAAGCAAAATGTTGTTGCTGAGGAGAGTCTTTGTGACACTTGAGATATGTGTAATATTCATTTAAATTTGTTGATGTTGTGTCCCTCAGATAAAAGGTTCGTGGTCTTCTAAAAGAGGGAAGGACAACTATAATCCTTACAGCCATGGCAATATATTCACCAACTGCTGTTCAGCACTTTGTGGACCCCTGCCACCGAGGTATAACTTGTGAGAATGTATGCAAGATTTAAGCTTTCCCAGCTACCCAGTTTATGACATTATCATTCACTGCTCTGAGAATCCAATTCAGTCATTTTGCACTTACACTGTATTTTTTCCTCCAGCTGTAATTTTCCATTTTGTTTACAGGCTCAAATAGAATTGTAAGGCCCTTTTCAGGCATGAACTGACACCCTGAAATTATTTAAGCATTACCCCGAGGAGCACTGTGAGAACAAAAATGTCCAAGTTGGTTGGCCCGGATATTAAGCAGATTTTACCCTGCCAGCTCCCCAGTACAAAGTCTACTGTACATAATGTCCAAGTGAGCCTGTGTGAGAATACAACAGTCTATAGTCCAGAGTATTCACACAGAGCTAGTGGAGTGGGCATGTTGATGCAAAAGCACAACATTCGAAAAACGGTAATGTACAATGAAGACACCAACAAAAATGTCAACTGGAGACATGACAGTTTTTGGAGACTTATATCATTAAAGAGCCCATGGCATGCTCATTTTCAACCATTTAATGTTTAATCTTGGGCACCTATAGATTAGCTTTGCACCCATCATAACTCCAAATATACAGTGGGTATGGAAAGTATTCAGACCCCCCTTTTTCACTCTTTGTTATATTGCAGCCATATGCTAAAATCATTTAAGTTCATTTTTTTCCTCATTAATGTACACACAGCACCCCATATTGACAGAAAAACACAGAATTTTTGACATTTTTGCAGATTTATTAAAAAAGAAAAACTGAAATATCACATGGTCATAAGTATTCAGACCCTTTGCTCAGTATTTAGTAGAAGCACCCTTTTGAGCTAATACAGCCATGAGTCTTTTTGGGAATGATGCAACAAGTTTTTCACACCTGCATTTGGGGATCCTCTGCCATTCCTCCTTGCAGATCCTCGCCAGTTCTGTCAGGTTGGATGGTAAACGTGGGTGGACAGCCATTTTCAGGTCTCTCCAGAGATGCTAAATTGGGTTTAAGTCAGGGCTCTGGCGGGGCCATTCAAGAACAGTCACGGAGTTGTTGTGAAACACTCCCATAGCATGATGCTGCCACCACCATGCTTCACTGTTGGGACTGTATTGGACAGGTGATGAGCAGTGCCTGGTTTTCTCCACACATACCGCTTAGAATTAAGGCCAAAAAGTTCTATCTTGGTCTCATCAGACCAGAGAATCTTATTTCTCACCAGCTTGGAGTCCTTCAGGTGTTTTTTAGCAAACTCCATGCAGGCTTTCATGTGTCTTGCACGGAGGAGAGGCTTCCGTCGGGCCACTCTGCCATAAAGCCCCGACTGGTGGAGGGCTGCAGTGATGGTTGACTTTCTACAACTTTCTCCCATCTCCCGACTGCATCTCTGGAGCTCAGCTACAGTCATCTTTGGGTTCTTCTGTACCTCTCTCACCAAGGCTCTTCTCCCCTGATAGCTCAGTTTGGCCGGACGGCCAGCTCTAGGAAGGGTTCTGGTCGTCCCAAACGTCTTCCATTTAAGGATTATGGAGGCCACTGTGCTCTTTGGAACCTTAAGTGCAGCAGAAATTTTTTTTGTAACCTTGGCCAGATCTGTGCCTTGCCACAATTCTGTCTGTGAGCTCTTCAGGCAGTTCCTTTGACCTCATGATTCTCATTTGCTCTGAACTGCACTGTGAGCTGTAGGGTCTTATATAGACAGGTGTGTGGCTTTCCTAATCACGTCCAATCAGTATAATCAAACACAGCTGGACTCAAATGAAGGTGTAGAACCATCTCAGGGATGATCAGAAGAAATGGACAGCACCCAAGTTAAATATATGAGTGTCACAGCAAATGGTCTGAATACTTATGACCATGTGATATTTCAGTTTTTCTTTTTTAATAAATCTGCAACAATGTCAAAAATTCTGTTTTTCTGTCAATATGGGGTGCTGTGTGTACATTAATGAGGAAAAAAATGAACTTAAATGATTTTAGCATATGGCTGCAATATAACAGTGAAAAATTTAAGGGGGTCTGAATACTTTCCGTACCCACTGTAATCATTTCAAAACGATAAAACCCAAGAGCCTCTTCCTAAAAATGAGAGGATAGTTTGTGAATGTGCACAGATACTGTTGCTGATGTTTTGTCAAAGTGGACAGCACAACAGCAATAATTAATATGAATTTCTCCTTCTTTGATAGGCAAACAAGGGTATATGTACCGATGAAAAGAGATGTGTAACACTTTAAACAAAGTGGGTTAGTTAACCCCATATTTTAACTGGCATAATGCAGACATAGTAACCTCTCCAGCCTTACATCATCAATTCCCTCTAATGTTACAGAAACAAGGTATTAACAGACATGCAACATGTTTTTTTTGTTTGTTTGTTTTTTTACTTACCGTTAACTCCCACCGAGTAGTGGAAACATCACTCCCCTTCAAGTAGCTCCAAGGTCGGTAAATCCAACCGGTGGTCGCTGCATCTTCCCCTACATGACCACATACATTTCCAAAGTAGTGAAATTAGTTCCAACAGGTATCGTAGTGCCGACAATAAAATCATGGATCATTAATCCACTTGTTACAACACATCGCATGCTGCAGTCAAAACAAACAGGTACTGTGCTCCGGAGGAACCCGGCATTGATGAGCTGATGGTGACCTCCACTGGGGTCTTCACAGGCCAGCTGTTTATAGGTTACACCCAGTCAGGTAGAACACCAAGTCCCTGTACAGGAACATTCTCGGACATGCAGTAATCTCAGACCCTGTATTTTTCTCCACATCTTATGGTGGAGGCAGCAGGGGGTAAAATATATCCACAAAACCGGGTGCAGTTGAAAAATTCTGCTTTTACAGTGGCACTGATGGATGTTAGTCAAGCTTACATGAACGTGCAACTGCCAGGAGAGTATGACCATTCAAGAAACTCTTTAAACTATCACCTAATACTTTATTTTGTTAGAAAAAAGTCTTGCAAACAAGAGATTGTGAGGCCTGTATAAACCAAGTTGCTTCTGCATAGAAAGTACTAGAACATGGGTACTCCTCACTTTTTGAGCTTTAGGTCACATCTGAGATGCACTGTTGTAACATTGTAGATAAGTCAGAAAACAAGGAAAAGCATGCCATGGGCTCTTTAAGTGCTGACACTAAAATTGCCAGACATTTTCAAGGAACGGCAAGAGACTCGGTTGTTTATGACCAAATTACAAACTGACCACGTGACCGTGTCATGCCCTGCCTCCTGCATGCTCTACCCAAGCGTTCTCCCTTCACATAAACCAAACGCACTATTTGCAGTAGGTGAGAAGGCATCTGACATGCACTCTCCCCTGTTGTGTGCTACATAGGTGAAAGGGCAACTCTGGAAAAAGTCCGGCCTTGACACTGCAGATGTTGTCCGGAGTTCATATGCGAAAACAGCTTTAGACAAGACTACTTTTAGGGTGAGGAGCTGCTTTGTCTGCAGCCTTTTCTCTATACATAGCTACTAAGACGCTGCAGGAGCAAAACGGATTTCAAGCCTATTTTAACCAAATCCAAGATCAAAGTTGGCTAAATATATTATATTTCACAATTTTGTGTTTTAACAAAAATACAGACCAGTTGTCACAGATATTTTCTCATGTTCATGTGACTGTAAATGTCTGTACATATTGCACATTCCCTCCCAGCTTTGGTCACTTTAGCATTTTGCCCACCGATTTTCATTTTTCTTTAACTTAGGCGTTTGCTTTGCAGTCATTTAACTGCAAAGTACAAACCCCAAACATACATTCTTTAGTGTAGCATATGCATACAGTACCTTCTCAAGTGAATATATTCACTTAAGCAAAGAAAAAGGAACAGTAGTAGAGGTTTTTAGTGACTTTCATTAGTATGTTTGCCTGTACTGTGCTATGGATAGTAAAAAAGAGTCCTCAAAGCACAGGTGGCTGCCACATGGGTGTGGGTGTGTGTGTGTGTATGTGTTTGTGGCTGGCCACCAGCATCGCACAGCTGGCTGCAGTCAGTAAGAAGGGAATGTTTCACCTCAGCCTCGGACTATGCAAACAACGCTGCCTCTCACACAAACAGACAATAGCCTCTTGCATTTCATTCCCTGCTGAAACCCCGACTCACAGCTACTTAATGCATCACCCTATATGTTTGTATGCTTGTTTCCTGCTAACTACATTTGCAGAAGTTTCGGTATTCATTACCAGCAACACAAGCAGCTGCTATATGTTCCCAGAGTTTGTCTCTGTGATTCTAGCAAACCATTTCCACCTGAATCCAGCTCAGTCCCACTGGAGCACACCATCAACACCATTCTGTTAAATGATTACCCTGTTCCCACAGTTTAACGCCTCAGCTGGCTGTGTGCGTAGCAGAGACTTGTGCCATATCAAACTGTATCTAGCTGAAAAATGGCCACTCTCACTACATTGTGCCCGTGACCATCATGCATGTGAAGAGTTCAGCTGGCTGTTGTCTAACCAACTATGTCAGAGTTCTGCAGTAGTGAGACAGTAACAGTACACACACCAACAGTTTAATTTGTACATCTTTACTTCCATTGCTCCAGAGAATCTGGTTGTGTTACTCTGTTGTATTTGATCTTTTAATTAGTATAATGGCTTTTTGTGTAATATTTGTGAATGAACACTCACAAATGATGCCTTTCTCCTTTTTTGTTTCTCTCCTACTAGTCTCATTGACAGACGGGGTTTTATCCAATCAGACACACTGCAGCTGGCACCACCAACGAATGGCATCACTATGTATGGGGCTACCCAGTCTCAGCAGAGCCACATGGTAAGACACCAACCTGATGGATGAAGTTTTAGGAATGGGAAGTCACTGATCTGTGTGGTTGCTTTTAAATCTGGCTCTCCATTTTTATTTTTCAAAAGCATAGTGTTCACTCTAAACCAACATTATAAGAGACATTTTTACTCATGTAAATCCACTATTCATTAGTTTGTTGTCTGCCATACTCTCACCAGTCTCACGCAGACCTTAACACGACTCCAACAGGACCAGGCCTTGGTCATCATGACACACACAGACAAAGCATCTGTCTCAGCAGCAACGCTGACAGCTGTTTTCTTTTGTTCAAATCAGAATCTTACCTCTCAAAAGCTGAGGCAGTTGAATTTTACCCCAAGTCAGTTAGAGGACTTCTCTAGATGAAGCACCTTGTGTTATTTTGTCTGATTGTTTGTAATTGTAATGATAAACATTAGATAATGGTTTGATGGCCTAGTTTTTCTTTTTGACAACCTAACAGAATCTCAAACACCAGTCTGGATAGAGTGAGAAAATGTGCAGAGAAAGCAAACCCACTTACAGTAGATTGAAACTAATGAAATTGCTCGTCAGGGATGTTGTCAGTTTTGCATGTGTTGCTCCCTATTGTCTGTAAATCAGGTCAATATCAAGGAAAGGTTCTGTCTGCCTGTCTGTGTGTGTGTATTTGTTGATACTGAGGTAACATAACAGGCGCAGCTGGGCAATTCTCTAACCCTGATTTCAGTTGTCATCTCGTTGGAGGGTTTTTTCATCATTGAGATGTCTAAGGCGCGTGTGTGTGCGTGTGCGTGTGTGTGTGTGTGTGTATGTGTGTGGCCTGGTATTACTGTTGTTGTGGGGATGTGCATTTGTGTACACAGTCACTTTGTGGGAGATTCAACATCCTTATGGGAACAAAAAGCACGTCCCCAAAATGTAAATCATTGCATTTCAGGCTGATGACTTGGTTTAAGGTTAGGTTAGATTAGGGTTCGTCAAATTTTATGGAAACTGAGGTGTAAGGTTAGAGCAAGTCCCAGTTTTGGTTAAGGTTAGGCAGGTGGTAGTTCTGGTTAAGGTTAGGGTAAGTCGCCTGGAAATGAATACAAGTCTGTATCAGGACCCGGTAAGGGACGACGAGGGTGTGTCTGAGTGTGTTTTCTCACTATGCTAATAATCGCAATCTTGCAGTGGACCTGAAAAGAAGAATGATCAGAAACCAGAGGGAGGTAACACGTACCCTGCCTGAATAGCAGCAACAAGTCTTCAGTTGTTCACTTCAGCTGTTTACCTCACACATTGCATGCTAGATTTAAGGCCTAGTCACACACATCCAAACTCAACCTCATCCTGTTCATTTTCGATTGAGATGTCGAATGTTATCAGTCTTCTGGTTCTGAATGTGTGGACTAGTTGTAAGGGGCTGAGTGCAATAGGAACATTCCCCCACGTTAGCACCTTCAGAAACAACTACCATCTGTTTTCTGTAGCAGCTCAAGTTGTCCTATTGTGCCAGCTGCTGGCCGTTTCATTTACACAGTGAAACAGTCAGCTCTGTGCTTAATGTCCACTTGTTAAATTCTGCAGCATGCCACATTGGAAACACATCAGGAGTGATTATTGCAGTGGGCATCTCCCTGCTTGTTAAAACCCTGTTGATCCAATTTGCTGGCTTCATTACTGTACAAATCAAGTTTGCCTTAAACAGTCAACATAGCTACACCACCCATTTCATATCCACTCTTGTTTTAGAGAGGCTGCCACTGCTTGGAATTAAGTAGTTCAAACCATGAGGAGTAAAAAGTCTCCTATCAATTCTGGCAGTTTACTAGAGAGGTGTGCGAGTGGGTGGGTCTGTTGGAGGTGCAGATGATAGAGAAAGCAGAGCGGCCGAGTTATAAAATGGAGGAAAGCGTGTCATACTTGTTAATTTTATTACTGTTATATTGATCTTTTAATGTAAGATTACTCTCTATGGCGAATACAGTACATTAGGTCAGCAGTTCACATCTAACTAAAATGCATTATCCATATTTTAATCAACATTTCATTATATTTATCACCAACTTGTTCACTAATCATTTGGTCAGTGTTATGATTTAGCTGAGTGGCTTTGCAGTGTTGATGACTTTTCCCCCAGATCTGTCATTTGACGTAGACATGTGTGGAGCTGAGTAAACAAAGCCCATATTTATGCAGGCCTCTTGGTTCAATTTGCTCTTTGGACATTAATGTGTTGCTGTTGAGCTTGTACAGTATTCAGGCGGTGAATTCCCTGTTTCTGCTTGAGGCTCCGTGATGCAGCTTAAAATGTGCAAGTCTTGTAAATGGTTGCCACAGTAACAATGTGTGATACAATATCCTCTGGTTAATGTTTCAGACGAGGACAGTTTTGACAACAGTCATCAATTAAAGGGTCAGCTAACCTAAACCTGAATTTCTCAGCTGCCCCTGTATGTGTCTAGACATGCAGATAATTAGGGTTTGTAATTGCTGAGGTTTTTCAGATTGTATTGAAACACAATCTGAAAATTAATAGGCAGCCATGGCCATATGGAATTTATCTTTAAAGTCATTTATCAAATGAGAATGATCTGGTTCCAGCTTGCCCAAGGCTATGAGTCTCTGCCTAATTAGGGAAGGCATTGTTTACTATAATCTGCCATTTCCGTAGATAATGTTGTGTAGTGTGTTAAGTAGGCTTAACCCCAGTGACTACTGCTGACTGTGATTGGAAGGTGTATAATTTATCTGCAAAAGGTTGCTGTCACCAGCTTAAAGTGTAACGTCAGTGAAACGCTACGTTCACATTACTGTATAGGCCTTAATGCTCAATTCCAACCTTTGTTCAGATCCAATTTTTTTCTGTTCATGGTTCGCATTCATGTCACTAAGTGACTGGTATCCAGCTCTGATCTGAACACCACTGTGTTCCTAAACTGCTGCACATGCAGATTGAACTGAATGTGAATGAACAGACGAACATTATAATTTATGGTCAGATCGCACGATTTCCTCACAAACTGCTCTGTTCATATCAAATGAAATCAAATTTTATTTGTATAGCACCAAATCACAACAAAAGTCATCTCAGGACACTTTACAAAGTAAGGTCTAGACTCTGGACCTTACTCTATTTCTCTGTAGACATTTGCACATAGCTGTTTGATAAATGGTATTTCCCTTTAAAATTACTATCCACCACTGGCATGCTATCATCTCATCTTGTTGGCTACTGTCTAGTCGAGAAGTGTAGGTCTAGGCCAAATGTAGGATTACATTTTTATAAGGGAACAAAAGATCTCTTGTGCCTATTGTGTCATTGCTGGATGTGTGCTCTCCAAGGTCTGTGTGCACAGTGTTTCTTGTAGTTCTGTGTGCGTCTGTCTCTGTCCACCTGGTATTGGAGATGGACACTGAGTCAATTGAGCCATGGCTGATTATAAATCATGAGAAAAAGGCGATGCACTGTATCCAGTACAGTACTGATGATGTAACTGTGCACTAACATGACAGTGAGCGAGCTTTGTGTCATTTCAGTCCAGTAACTTCAAATTAGTCTTTTCAACAACCTGGAGACAAGCCAGGCTTGTGATAAGGCGATAAGTCGAGAGCAGCTGATAAGAGGGTTGATAATATTTTGAATTGCATCTCTCCTGCTGTCAGAGTTGGCTGAACTTCTAAGTTACTTGCATTATCTGCCCTTTTTAGGTCAGTGAGACTGGGTCAGAAAGGTGAGATGTCCAAGACAAATCTTTGTGCTTCACATTTCTTGTCAGTCAGGCTTTGGGAGCGGTGTGGGACAGGAGGAGGCAGCAACATACATTTCCTTTGTGTTTGTGTGGCATTTTAATTCCTGTCATCTCTGCACAACTATAGTGGTCTTTCATGTGTAACTGGTCTCTTATACACATGATTGTTCTGTGGTGATAAAGGACTAATGGGGTTAAGGCTAATTTCCCCCTGGCTAATGTGTGGTATTGGTGACTCGTGTCCTGCTCCAGTTTCAGAGGCGACTTTCATTCAAAACCTGGCACTACAGATCAAAAGCTCATGAGGCTGTGACTTAACATTTCTGTTTTCTCCAATCTGACTGGTTTTACTGGTGTGGATGTATGAACTGGTTTGGGTATTTCTGTATTCAAACAAGGGTACTAACATCTTTTTGTTTGTTTTTCTCTCCCTTATCCAATCACATGTCCCCTCCTCTTTTGTCTTTTCACACATTGTTTTCCTTGATCCTGTGTGTTGTTTCATCTTTCCTGTGCTATCTAAATTTCAACACTGCCTCTCTCACTTGTTTTCTATTTCTGTCATTTACCTCTGGCACCTTATGTCTCCCTATCTATCACCCCCTTCCATATTTTCCTCTTTCTCCTGCTGCTTTGTCTCAGTGTGACCAAGACCAGTGCATTCAGAGCACCAAATTCGTTTTGCAGGCTGCCACCACCCCTCTCCTCCAGCAGCAGACCAGTGAACCAGTCATTCTGACCACCTCCCCTGAAAATGGAGGCTCTCTACCTGGACGCACCTCGCTCACACTGGCCGGCCCGTGCACCTCACTCCCCCTCGGCCAGCCCACCCCTCCACCCTCCACCTCCA